CTCTCTCTCTTACCGAAATGTGTGCAATAATTTTGTAAAGCTTTATTTGAGACGATTTCTTTCCAATATTTTACTTCTTATTTTTGACTTCTTTTTTAGGTACTTAACTGTGATCTCTGATTTGTCTTGTCGAAGTTTCTTAGGTAGCTTTGTATGTATCAATTGTTCATTTTGATGTTATGTATCTTTATGTTTTGAATTATGAAGATGTTGCTTTTTTCGGTTTGGAAAACTTTCACTCACAGGGAAGACTTTACCTATTCCAATAGGTTAAGGGCTGAGTTTGGTGTACGTGGGGGAGGGGGGGAGAGACCTACTTAAGCGATATCGATTCAAACGTATCAGTTAGAAGAATTTATACATAAGCCAGAAGTTGTCACACAGATAGAATCATACAAACAGGTTTTCTAGGGGAAAGTTTGAAGAATCGGTTCATTCGCATCTGTCTATCGAAGAGATATCGCAGTGAAAAGCAGCATTCCGAGTGACAAAAATACAGAGGAAGCTTCTGAAATGGACACTGCAGTCAAACAGAGACCATCTATTGAAGTCAGAAATTAGAACAACCTCAAAGGCTTATAGCTTATTCTATTTATTTAATGACTAGTACTAAAGACCAACTTCTGCATGTTGACTCTTTGTTTTGTGTAAAAATACACCACAAAATATTTGAAATGTTCGTAGCAACGTTCGAATGAATATAATTTCAATCCGATCATATTTTTATTTAGAAAATTGATTGTGAATAGCTTTTGAATTCCGTTAAACCCATGAATCAAACCAGGATGCTTTTAAAAAATTTAAAAATACAGATATTCCATTAAATGACAAATGTACTTACCCTTCGTCGTGGTCATTTCTGGGCAGCCTGCAAATTAGATGATTAGAAAAGATGAAGAAGAAATTGAATATTATTGAGGATGAATCTCATGTACGCCGTTTTGAAGATCTTTGGCTATGGATTTCGCTCACATAGAAACGACTTGCATATGAGGTTCAGTTTTTAGTCCAAATTTTGTTAATGAGTTACCAAAATCCGCGGGACATTAGATCTGTCTTGAGCTACACAACTTGAGAAGTTCTTTTCACTAACCTGTCGTTATCGGCGGAGGTAAACTTTGTGTTGTTTCGGCAGCTGTAAAAGAGGGAGTCACTATTACAATTTTGAGCTTAACTGCTAGAAATACTTACGTTCTTCAGACGGCGTTGTATCTTGCTGCTCATCTAGAAATACAAATTAATTTAATTGAAAAACAAATTAAAGTTAATCAAATGAAATTAGAAGCTTTGAGTTTGGAAAGAATTTTGTTTGCAAAGATGTACTCTACTCTCAAAAAAATGTCTATGTGTGTAAATCGGTACGAGATCAGTTGTCCAAGATAGTTCTAGCGCGACATAAGTTATTTGAACAATTACACTCATGCTCCAGCAAATGGGTTTTGCGCTCTTCCGTGTCTCCCGCCTGGAAGCACTCTTTCTAGAGTGGGCACGGTTCTATTCGTCTTGATAATGATGCTATTTCCTATCAGTACAGAAAA